GGCATCCAATAAAAGTTCATGTAGATGTGCAACATATAGATATTTAATAGTAAAAATTACATAAAAAATACAAATGTACTTAATGACATTACTATTAACAATCATTTACTAATTTATTATCTTTTCGTTTTTATTGTTAGGACTTGAAGAGACCCAAAATGCAGTCAATAAATAAATATCCGTATATTGTGCATTTTAACACCCATGTGGGCTTTTATTAGCTATAATTTTGTTTTTTTTATAATGTATCATATTTTAAAACAGAATGTGAATCATTTTTTTACCTTGAGTCGAGTACTCCTGCTATTTCAAAAATAATTAATTCAAACATGGTACATGACAACGAAAATGTTGTTGAGAAAATTAGTTGTACTAGTCTATGATGAACTTCATAATCTCTGAATAATTTCTTCACAAAGAACACCCATCCTCCTACGAAGAAAATCACCTGAAATATACAGGAGACAAAAATAAATGGAATCTGTCTCATATGGAGATTCTATTCACATTAAATCTGTCCAAAAACAAATAATTAATGTATTGAAACACACGTACGTATAGATTCGATATTTTACTAAATAAACTGCAAAGCTTTACAATACAAAATTTATTGTAATAATCTCAAAAATACATACATCTCACACAATTCAGTTACAGTTTCATAAATATGTTATAGGCAGAGAAAAATCCATAAATAATAATTCGCAAGGAATTAATGCTGATTGAGAATATAACACGAAATCTTTTCAGAATACAACCAAATGATTTGTATTTTATATTATGTTTTACATTAAATATCATTAATAACGAAACAAATAATTGTTCACATTATTTCGAGATATACGTATAGAGCACCGTTACTCTCTTTATAACCTTAATCAGTTCAGGAAGTATTGATAAATCTGATTTTTGTAGTGGAAACGAATTTCCACCTGTGTTACGAGAATCACGATAGTGTCTTCGATGAAACCCATTTTCCACTATCGCGATTTTCACTTCGCATTGCGAAGTTTTGACCGGCGATGCTCAGCACTTGACAGGACGCAGGTGGTTCCAAACAAAACGAACACGACAGCAAATATCTGAAACAGAGAGAAACCTGAGAGAGGCCATGCCGGCCCTTTTTCTGTTACCGTTGAAATCGTCCGTACATCCATTTTCAGTTTGGGAACTATATACATTTTCTGACACTATCGATAAAATCGTATCGTCGAAAGTAAATGTGGTTCGTCTCGATACTAAAATCAGTATATTGTTATATCTCTGTAATTTAATTCTCCGTTTGTAAAATAATATTTTTACTCCCTCCGTCTAGTCTAAGTTTACTGTTTTAAGCTTTCAAAAGATGTGGAAAAATTCATAGTTATTTTTCAACATATCTATTACATTACGAAATTATAGTTTTTTTAATGAGATTTTTTCAAAAAAAGACTCAGATTGGCAGACGAAAGGTTGATGATAATATATCTTGAGATCTATTCTGTATTGTATACATTATAACATATACAAAATAATTAAAAAGTAATTTATTGTTTTTTGAATTGTTATTACATTAATCGCGCGTTTTTATGTATGTCGCGATATATTTAATTAATCGGAGTTTATATTTAGTAAAATATAAAAGTTATGTATTCACACACTAATATATATTCTCAAATAGCATAAATGTCCAAGGGATATTCAAATGTTCAAGAACCGTACATCCTGAGAATGTTCGCAGGAACATCTGTGGGATAAAGTGTGTTGTATAGATTATTAGAAAGCGACAAATGCGATTGTTAATGACTGTATAAAATAATTTAAGTACCGCGATATTGAAAAAGAGAGATAAAAATATAAATATAACCGAAATTGCATATACTTCGTGTCATTAACTTTCAAGTTCTCTTTGATAATCCTGGAATGAAAATAAAAGTTAATCTGCATAAACCGTAATCACGCTATACGAGTTACCTGTTATCGGTTCTATTTTAGCCAATCTCATGCAGGGAATATGGACTAGTTCCCAGACAGCACAGAATATTTATGATAAATATTTATTATTATTATTTATTTCATTAAATGCTATATAAAATATTTTATACATATTTTATACAAAACTTTATTCGAAATTCTTTGTCTGAAAGGCATATACCACGAACACCAGGTGGTAATGGCGATTATTACAATTCTTTTATTAAACACATGAATTCAAAATAAACGTTTCGGTCCCAATCGGACCATCTTCAGTATTAACAGTACCATTATAATTAATTAGACTGATCCTATCATACGCAACATAATTATACAATTTAGTTAAGCCGTCAATCTTACTTAAAAATAAATTCTAGTCATATATAATTTTAGCATTTGTCATTACATAAACAAAAATTATTTTTCTCTTTTTTCTCCTAAAACGGAAGTCATAAATTTTTTTCTTTCGTCATATAAGCTTCATATTTTGCTAATCTCCTTTGTCACATCAAAAATCCTTGCTGCATCATGTGTTTAATAAAAGAATTGTAATAATCGCCACTACCACCTGGTGTTCGTGGTATGTGCCTTTCAGACAAAGAATTGTTTGTATTTATTGAACCACGGTGTATTTATAATTTAATTTTATTCGAAATCTCACTAAAAGATAGACTAAATATTTCATGTAATATTTATGATAAATATAAATAAATATTTCTGTTATGTATTTCTTATTTGAACTATAATGTCTTATTAAATATTTTCATAATATTTACTACAAGATTTACAATAAATATTTCATAATATTTATAATAAATGTCTATGATATATGCAATCTAAGACCACAAAAATATTCACAAAATATTTAAAATAAGCCTTATAGATGTTTATAAATATTTTGTAAATCTTTTATAAATATTGACTATATTCAGCGGACTCAATAGTTGAGTGAGCGCTCGCTGCTACTGATGTATTCTTCCAGATCTAAAATACTGATTGGATGATATAAAAGAATACACCAATAACAGCGAGTGCTCATTCAACTGTTGAATCCGCTGAACACAGCCATAAGTTGCTTTCCATTTACACCGATTCTCAGATAATTCTCACTTGTAACGTCATAACTCAGTTGAATGCGCATTCCTTTTACACTCTGACATGTGAGATTTAATTGAGTTTTTGCCTATAATCTGCACAAGATCGAGACTGTGTGCTTTATTGAGTCCCGTAAACTCATTTTAAAAGTCAGGTTCGAACCTGTGTTGTCTGTGATAACTTTTTACCAAACTAAGCAAATAATGACGTCATTAATCTGAGTATAAAATACTCAACTCACTTCAGACTCAGTTTCACTTGTATGCAAATGGAAAGCAATTATTGTGTGCTGTTTGGGTTGCAACAATGATTGGCTAAAATGTAGAATCGTTAACTAGCAATCGTAACCAGCAACCTGATAGTGTGATTACATTTTAAGTGGGTTGATAAGAGATGATGGCAGAGGGGAGAAGAAAGTATAAGTGCTTTCCATTTGAAACATAAATCGACATAATATTGTTCTATCTTTGTTACTCATGGAATACCAAGAAAGATAGAATGACGTGTGTCGACTTGTATCACTAAATTGAAAGCATCTTCTATGAATATCGAGAATTCATAAGTGAAATATAGAAGTACGCTTTCTATGGCCGGTATTCGTAGTCGATTCTTATATTTGAGATTGCCTTGAGTACAATCTCATAGAGACACGTGTATCTCCAAAAACGAGGCATAAGAATTCTTAAAGATATGTTTTAAGTAAAAGACGTTTTAATGATGTCTAAAAAACATCTTTAAGACGTCTTATGTCACGATTTGAACTTTTTGTTGTCTGAGAAGCCTATCAGAGAGGCATATTAGCATCCTAAGACATTATTTAAGATTCTTAAAATAAAAACGGACTATGAATACCGTTCTACACAAAAGATTTGAACATATTGCAAGGTACATTTAATGTGATAGTTTAATTCAGATTTAGAAAGCTTATTGTTTAAATAAGTTAGAACTTGAGACACAGGTAGAGACATTAACGATTATTTATCCACCTGTACATACACAAACACGACACATACATGAAACGACGAAATTGTCGTATAATAGGCAGCTGGGTGTCGCGGCATGTTATCTCGATGATTAACAATACTGCCTTATCTAAAATTTTAGCATTTGCTTCGCGTTAGTGATCAAGTGTCTGAATACGAACGAATGTTCACGCTCGTTTCCCTTTCCGCAAAGATCGTGACAAGTGCACACAGATCAGTGCTACAATGTGACTTAACGATGAATCGACTGTTAAATCGAATAAGAAATTCAACTCCATCCAAATGTTGGATGTTTTAACTCTGTCGAAATTTTGTTTTCGTCGATCAGGAACATATACATATATTATAGTTATATAATATTTTTCTGTTTCTATAATTCCTTCTCATATATATATATATATATATATATATATATATATAATAAGCTTATAAAATATAAATAAGAACTGTCATCGTTCCAACTATATAGAATTGTATTTCGTGTATCTGTTTGAATAATTATGTAGGCATATACACTTGGAAATTTATTACATAACTTGTGAAAAACGATATATTCATAGTTGATTTAAATAATTTTCTCTAAGTTTCTCGTAAAGATTTTTGTACCATCTGAAATTTTTACAGCGCGTTAAATGACGTAAGATTGTAAAAACGTAATTTCCTTGAAAAACTCAAAAATAATTATTAGCTAAAGATTTAATAGTGTGAATCAATGTAGTATAAAACAAATGTTTACCTCTTATGTGTAAAAGAGAATTATAATAATGTACATTTTTACGAAACAATTAAAACGTAACAATGAAAATGCGTTTTTCGAAGGAGTATATGCACTTCTTGACGTATGCACATTAATAAATCTTCTCCAACGTAGTTGAAAGTTTAAAATAATCTAACAGCATTTTCAACCGTAGTGAGTTTAAATCGATCAGAGATCGATTAACTTGAAAGTACTATTACGTCATCTAATCAGAAACCAAAGATAAAATATGTAATGTCAATAATCGCTCTCGGAACGATCAAATTCACTGCGGTTGCAAACGCTGTAAAATACGACGTGTCTAAATGAGAAAACTGTAATACACAGAGTCGATGAGTTCGAGATTAGTGACGCTGGAAGGACATAAAGAAAAAACGAAAAATGCCGGGCACTCTGACGTATCCAATCTACGTTGGTGTTGATTCACACCCACCCAGAAGACGCGCCCATACATGGACCGCACAACATCGTTCTGCATCACGTGTGGCAGAAATCAATTCGCAATTTGATCGAATGTCCCTGTCGGAATCTGTGGTGAGATATTGAAACATACTACATATGAAAGTTAAGAGAAAGAGAGAAAGAGAGAAAGAGAGAATGAGAGAGAGAGAGAGAGAGAGAGACCCAGAGAGCACAAAATATTTATAAAATATTCATAAGATTTATTTGAATATTTACAAAATATTGATAAAAATATTTTATAAATATTTTTGTGTTCTTATACATATAGTTGCACTGCCCATATAGCACAGAACGTTGAAAGAATGTTGTTGAGATATTGCAGTGTTGAATGTTGAAGTCTCAATGTTTTATCAGTGTTGTATCTATAATATATTGATTCTTCAACATTGATTGTAATGTTGCTGCAATATTGAAGTAACATATATATTGAATAAATTATATATCAACATCTATTTTATTTTGTAAAAAATGAACAAAAACAGAATGTGTTATATAAACAGAAAATTTAAATCATTCAAATTGATCTTTTGACGAAACTCATTTCTAAACGATATCTATATGTTTACGCGAGAATCGATCGCGTTTGCAGAGTGCGTGTGATATTATTTGTTTATTCGATGCGCGACGTCGACTCGTGGTCTTTGTATACACGGCACAATATAAGTATGTATATACAGTATGGACACTGAACGTCGGCACCTTTGATGTGTAATGGATCCCAGGTCACATGACTTGCTATGTTGAGGATTGGAAAGGCACTTATAATTTTGAGATTTATAAAGCTACAGAATGATTTAAAAAAAAAGACATAATTCGGTTGTGTCATGAAAATTGTTTATAGCGATTATGTTTTTAAATCAGAATTATATAATAATATAATGTTAACGAATTCATTATATAAAGATAATATTCAAATTAATAATAATAATAATATTAAACAGTAACAAGTAAATTAAAAATAATAATTGATTAAATACTACATGAAAATTGTAATTAAATGTGAAGTTGTAATTTAATAATATACATGTACACAAATGCATACTTTATTACGAGAATACTTTTTCGTATACAAATATAACAGTCTACGCAATATAGCGTCTTCGAAAAAAATTTGATTTAATTTTTTAGTAAAACTTAATTTTATTAATTATATTTTATGGAAAGAAGATCCAGCTAACCTAACCTGCAATTTCAACTTACTGAAGGCAGCCATATTCCTGGTTAGAAAAGGCTTCGCATGCGCACTAAAAATTGGAGATCACATAAAAAATTCAGTGTTCATATACTGTATGTACACTGTTGTTCATTAATCGAGTCCCTTTTTATGTATAGCTAGTGTAGCCAATTAGGCAATCCATTAGGTTGATAGCAGAATCTGATTGGCTGACGTAACTGTAATTTCTCCACCCTCCTACACTCGAGGGACTCGATTAATGAACAGCAGTGTACTTATACTGTAACACGACGTCATTAATGCCCATATAGGCATCTGAATTTGCAAGAGTATTGCTGGATTCACACTGC